AGGGGTGGGGGCGTCGCAGGGGGAGATGGGGTGGGATTTGGGGCTGTGGCTGTTCCTTCTGGGGTCCCTAACTCTCCCCATGGGCACAGCTGTCGCTCTGCAGTGCTGCAGGCACATGTTTTCTGGAGATTTGTGGGCACCATGATGTGCGTGGCTGCCATCTTCGCCGTGCTGGTGGTGTGTCGCCAGCGCGTGCTGGACAGGAAGGCCCTGGAGAAGGTCCGCAAGCAGCTCGAGTCCATTTAACAAAACCCAGCCGCCGTGGAGCGGAGAACTCTGCTTGCCTGCTGCTCCCAGCTGGGTGGGAGGAGGAATGGGTGCCTGGGGCAGGCTCTGCCCTGCTCTGTGAATACGGAATCCTGCCTGGAACTGCCTTGGATAGCACTGGGGCATCCCATGGGACTGGCTGAGGGGTGCTTTGCCTGCGCAGGGGGTCCCCAGGGAGCGCAGTGCGTAATAAATCCTTATTGTTGTCACCGGAGCAACACTGGTGTTTGTCCCAGGGAGAACAGGAGCGACTCGGGGCTATGCCGCCAGCTCCACTCCCCCATCAGAGCCCTGGGGGAGTCCTCGTCCCCCACGGCCCCACCCCAGGCAGCACTGCAGGCTCGGCGCCAACCCTCCAGCACACCTCGGAGTGCAAACCAGGCATGGGTTTATTCACCAGTGCATAGAGCTGTTGTGGCAGGGGGGGATGCACTCAGCACCCCCGGCCTGGGCCAGGCTGGGTGTCCCCCCCACTGCTGCCCCCACCCTGGGGTCCCAGAGCTAGGGCTGCCTCTGTCGCCAGTCACATCTCATCCCCGTGTCCCTGTTTTGCTGTCCCTGCATCCCCTGGGGGGGCTCGGCCTGAGGAATTGGTGCCCAGCTCCCTGCTGGCGGGGGGGCCCCCCCCCCCGTTCATGCCCCCCCTCAGCTCCATCTTCCATGGCAGCCGCAGGTCCTGGCTCTTCCACCCAAAGCCACGCTGGCACAGGGAATGGGGCTTCTCCAGCTGGTCCCAGCAGCTCCCCCTGGGTCAGGATGTTCCTGGAAATCACTGTGGGAACAGGGAAACACCGTGGTAGGCAGCGTTGGGTGGGGAGAGCTGCAGCTGGTTCCCCCCCGGGACTCCCGCAGCCTCCCGGTTACCTCCGGTGGGTCTGTCACCGTCCCGGCTGCCCCCCAGGCCCCAGCGGAAGGGGCTGTAGCTGGGGAATAGGATGAGTCCCAGGGAGAGGAGCAGGATCTGCCGGGAAGGAACAGAAACCACGTAGCCCCGAGTGGTGCTGGGGGACACCGGCGTGCCCGGCGCACCATGGTACGTGTGCCCTACCAGGACGCAGGTGCTGGTCTGGGCGGCCTTGTTGGACGTCTGCTTGATCAGCGTCTGCAGCTGCCGCAGCAGGGACCTGCGAGACGAGGGGTCAGCAAGCACCCGTCCCTGTGTGCCCCCTTCCCTGCACCCTGTCCTGATGCCAGTGCTCATCCCAGCACCCTCTCCCAGCACCATGCCCGCTGAGTTTCCCGTGCTGCCCTCACCCATTGCACTTCTCCAGCTCCTCAACTTTCTTCCGTAGCTCCTGGTTCTGGGCTGAGCATGCGGCTGCCCTGCCCGGGCAGAGACGGGGACGGGTGAGGGGATGTGTGGCTGGGGACGCGCTGGGACGCAGGGGACGTGCTGGCTCGCGGTGCCACCGGCGCCCACCTGCTCTCCA